AGGGTTACCCTAAACCCTGAACCCTAGATCCTCACTCCATACTACGTTACACGTATGTTAAACTCTACATCCTGAAAATAAAGACCTTGAACTTCAAATCCCTCAACTTTCAACACGAATCAGCTCCGGCGCGAGATCGAGAAGTGATTGTCATCGACGGCCCCGAGACGGAAGTTGCCAATCTGGATAAACTCGAAGCCGAACTGGACTGTTTTGCCCGGACTCCCAGGACTCCTTCGGGGCTTTGTGGCCCAGGGTTCAGGGGGCTTGAGGGAGTCTTAACGTCAACGTAGATTTCGGTGCTGCTCGAAAGTTCCAAACCCGAGCTCCGACCCCAGGCATCGTACTTGCCCCAGTCAGATTTGTGGGTGCGCCAGGCATTTCCGTCTTTGTGCCACACTGCAGCGACCTTCCGAGTGTCCTGAAACAGCGCCCTTTACCAGACAGGGCAGGCCGCGGTTTAGGCCTGACATGGTTTAGGATGCCTACACGAGGCAATCTCCTGGTGTGAGATCGACAGGTGGCTCGCATCGATTTCGGCGATGCGGAACTTGCCGAGCTCAATAAACCGGTCACCCATTCTAAGACTGCCGCATGAAGGAGGGGGAACACCTGGCGGCCTCTCTACAGTCGGCGGATCCACTTGCTCCGGCGGCACAGTCTCGACCTCCGATTCATCTGGTGGGCCCTGGCCGGCTGTCCCGCACCCGAGCTGATCCGCGCAGGGGGAGTTCTCGAAATTCGGTGTTGTGTAGATCTCCTTGCAGAAGAGCTTCTGAGGCTTCAGCAAGAGAATCGACAGGAAGTCCCACTTCAGAGTCAGTCCGGGTATGAGGTTCGCAATGCGGTTCCCTGCTTCAACGGCCGCTGCGGTGACCGTCTGCGTGACTGTGTTTACAAGTGAGGCACACTTCGCCGGACCGGACATCAACTCGATCATGGCTTGCGCACCTGGGTGTCTTCTTAGTGTCTGTGGCGTCTACGGGTACGGAATCCGGGGTCCAACATAGCCCCCACCACTTTCACGCACGGAAGGCCACCTTCTTTCATGGCGTCTTTGATCGTCTGCTTGAGAAAGTTGTCATCCAACCACTTTTTCAACCACATCGGGAGCGCGAAACCGGTGATGACAAAGTCCGCATACAAACTGACGGCCTCGGAAGGGACTTCAAATACGGCAAAGCAGCTAAGACCCGTAGGACAACTTCTTTTCTACCCAGGGAAAAGAAGACGATTTCTCCGGATGCATTCCGAATCCTGTGTTCGAGGACCACTCTGCTGTCTGTTCAGGCCCCTCTACTCTGTGTAAACCTGGATGTCTAAACCTCAGAAGCCAAGCTAAGCCTAGGCCCTGGACCTGCCACTCTAAACCCCAAAAGCCTAAAACCCTA